AACATGGGCACTATCTTGGAGTACTCTTCAACTGCCCCCACACTATTTCATCCTTGCAACAATTTGTTGAATTAAATGAACAGTGTGGAGCTAAGAAATTGATACATATGTCTGCCCCTCGGCTAACTCGCGCATGGCATTTTATTTTGCTACCTATGCGTTTAATTATGCATCCCATGTGCTTGAGTAGTTTTTCATTTTTCTGCGTTTCTAAGCATAGCCGTGCGCGTACTGTCATTTGTGAAGCGATCATGAGAGTTGTGTCGATACATCGGAATTATCATTGTTCTTTTATTTTGTTTGATTTGATCTTATTTTGTTTTATTGCTTGATATGACCCTGCTTGTACCTTCTTAGCGCATCTTTAGCCCCCTTTCACCGTTGTAAAGGGACCTTCATGCCCTTCCCAAACCTCACAGAAGATACTTATGACAGGTTTAGAAGTGCGTATGTAAGCTAATGCTTATGCGAAGGAGAACTTGTCATGCGCCTTGATGCACACCAACTGATCGCAGTTGGGACCCCCTAGAGACTATGCTTTTCATCTCACAGAGGACGACCAAGTAGCAGGCATCTCGGCCAATAAATGGTGACACCCCGTTTAATATGGTGGCTCTCCTTTAAATCACTTCATTTTAACAGGCATGGTGAAAATAAAGGAATTTAACAAATTTTTTTGCTTCCGCGTAACTATCGCCCAGTTGTGGGTATTCATGTTTCTCATGCTGTAGAGTAGTATACTTACCTGTGCTTCTGTGTGGTTATGTGTTATTCGGTGTGTGCTTGTAAACTTCCCCCTTTGTCCGTGTTGTGAATCTCCTGTGGTGGTTTGCCGTTCTTAATTGTCTTCCCGTGGAGCATTTTTCTTCGCTCCACTGCGAAGCTCAGGGGGCCACCATCACAGATCACAGTACACATCACCGCACACATCACTACACATTCACATTACGGATAACCAGATGCGCCACTTGTCACACATGGCCCATCGATTGAACCCCAATTTTGTGAAAAAGGAGACGCGGAAAATCGTACGCCTCCTTCAGAGACACAACATGTAAGGGAGGAGTGGGGGAACTCTCATTCGGTGCAAATAAATAATAGTGAACATATGCACACGTCTATACCGACGTGGACACATACACGCACTGGAACACGCATACCTTAACGAACATGAGAGAAAGGAAACAGAAGAAGAGCGAGCGAAGCAAAATATGTATGACAACTTCTTGGAGAAAATAAGTTTCGCTTCAGTTAATTTACTATCGAAGCTAAACTTTGGAGACAACAAAGAGGACCGAAAAAAATTAAAGGGCATAAAAAAGGCTAAAAAAAATGTGACGACACTTCCGTTGCTATTAAGAATAGAAGATGACACAAAGAGGAAAAAAAAAAAAACATTTCAGGACACCTACAAAAAGGAACAGCCATTTTTGTATTTGCTCAAGAAAAACAAATACTCTCAAATCAAATTTCTTCTTAATGACATTGTTAAGACCTATACTGAGAGACAATTTCTGAGCGACTTGTCTTTGAATTTTTTGTGCAAGCTAGTTAGGAAGGAAAAATGTGCCAACAGTTTGAGTCCACGCGATGCCCACACGCTGCTGCTCATTTTGAGTCGGGAGTTTTTGGCCAGGCATGGTGGCGAGGCGGCCGCCACGAGTGGTGCTGTGCATTACAATGTGAGAGATGGTGGGCATGGCGATTTCAAAGGGGTCGGTGACCACTGGGAGGATCCCCCCCTGGAAAACCACCGAGACGCGAAAATTTTAAAAACCAGCTGCTACTTGTTGCGACACCTATTTTTGAACAGGGAGGGGAGCGATATGGTGGACGACACCTTTGCGATTCTCTTTTTAACAAAACTGAATTATCTGATGGACAGAAAAAACGACCTTGGGAGGAAAGATCTTAGGCATAACTACAGCTTTTATTTCTACGTCCTCCTCCTTTACTACTACCTATATGTGTACAACAACACGAAGAAGATGGTGTTGTTCCCCGGAGGGAGGATTTTTAGATACTCATTCGGGGGCACCAATGAGATGGCACTGATTCATAAAAAGTACGACTCTGTGAAAGACAGCTCCATGTACAATATGAAGAGGTATGGAATCTACACAGGGACTAACAACATTGTTGACACAGATGAAGATAAAAAAAAAACGAAGGATTATTTCAAAAAAAAGACGTATGCACATTTCTTAAAAGACAACTATTCCATAAATTTTGACTGCTTAAAGGAGAATATGCATCTCTTCTTCAAATTTAATGATATGTTGAATGTACATTTTATCACACACATGGACAAACTGAAAGTTTTACAATTGACTTCTCATGAGTGTGTTCTGAGAAGGAAGTCTCACTTGATGAGCGAATCGGTGAACAATTATTTGATGCTATGTCTTCGGCTTCTTTTTAAATTGAATAGTAAACGGGAGGGAGATAAATACACCCAAGCGGAATGCAATAATGGTGTGCCGACCAACAGTAACGGAAATGCGAGGGGTGGAGAAAAGAACGACGCGCATCTTTTCACATCAGAAAAGGAAAAAAATAAACGAAGAAGAGTGCCAACCAATTTATTATTAACAAATATTAACAACAAAAAGAAGAACCAAAAAAATAAGTTACTTTTAACCGAACTGTTGTACCAAGCAATTGACTATGTGACGTTAAATGAGGAGATGCCTCCGTGCAGCCGCAAACGGAATAACAACATTATTGAAGATGGACTGAGCGAAATAGTTAATTGCCTTGAGAAAAAATTTAAACTCAAGTACGTAGGAAGCACAAAGGACGTGGACTACCTCTCACAAAGTGAAAGCAAAAAAAAATCCAAAAATGAAAAAAATGCTGACAGTGAAGAGAACATCCTATTTAACATCATCAACATAGACAACAAATTGAAAAATAAAAATAACTTAAACGTAGAGACTTTGCTAAAGAAGATAAATGATCTTCTCAACATCGGGAATGACCCGTCTGTCTACGTCGACTCAGGGCTTCACATTATAATCAGGAATATGTGCCTCAACAGGCTGAACTCGCTAAACGTAGATTTGCTCTTCCTCATAAATTTGTACTCGAACAATAATTTTAAAAATAAGTTTTTTCATTACGATTGGAAGTTGGCGACTTCGCCGTGGGTTAGCGAAAACGCCCGAAGGAGTGACTACCCATCCGAGCATCGCGAAAATGGCAGCGGGGGTGTCGCCCAAGACACGCCCATGGGCGCTCCGAATGAAGCTGAAAAAAGTGGGCAAACAGCAACAGAAGAGGGTGAGAAGCCCGATAGCCTTCCTTCGGTAAGCCTCCCATCCCCGAATCTTCCATCCATGAGCCTTCCATCCTTGAACCTCCCATCCCTGAATCTTCCATCCATGAGCCTCCCATCCATGAACCTCTCCGCCCTGTACACCCCGCTGACCAAGAAAGCGGAGGACGACTCCTTCAAAGCAGAAGCAAAAAAAAAATCTCAGACCATGGCAAAAAGGAAAGATAAGCACATCTATGGAGAGCTGTCACTATGCTTAAAAATCATTGCAAACAGTTTCGCCTACAAAGATCTTTGCTTCAGTTCCTTCTCGATCTTATATTTTATGTATAAAAATTTACTAGACAATATAATGAGGGTATCTTTTAATTTTACGTACTTTATTAGTACGGAGTTTTTTTTTTTCAATGACAGTATGAATTTTCTCTCGCTTGCAAATTTGAAAAGGGACCTAATACCAAGTTCAGTCTACTTTGACAGCATAAGAGCATTTACCAACATCAAATCGCACTATAGGTATTTCCTTGGGTTGATCACAAAGGGAGCGCAGAAGGAAGAGGTCAAGAGTTGGAAGCAGATTCCAGTTCTCTTGTCCAGTTTGACGGGTGACACGGGGAAAGATGTACACAGCGGTGGAGAAGCATACAGAGGTGGAGACTCAAACAAAGGTGAAGAAGAAAATCCCCCGGCGGAACACCAAAGAGTGAAAAAAAAAAGAAAGAGAGAAGGTACAGTGCGCGGGCAGGGCAGGGGAATAATCCATCAACCGTGGCTCACCCCGTTCGATCTATTTTTGGACAGCGTGGATAATCTGCTGAAGGATACCATGGTGGATCAGAAACTAAATTCGAAGGAGTTCCTATGTGAATGCCCGACTCACCAAACTTCCTATTTGGCGAAGAAGAAGAAGAAAAAAAAAATGCTCCTAGATGAGCATATGTACTTGATTAGCAGTTACAATCATCATTTTTATAATTTGCACCATCGATTCTTTCCAATCTATACGTATTCCACAATGTGTCACATACACAGGAAAAAGGGAAAGGACCCTGGGGAGGCAAAACCAGGGAAGAGGGAAAAAATGGGGAACCACACGATCGAAGCCAATGTAGCGGCAAAGCCGTCACCCAGAAGGAAAAAGAAGAAGGTGGACATAGTGATGGTGCACGGGCTAAGGGGAAACGCCTTCCGAACATGGAGGTTGTCCAACCTGTACCATAACAGCCCCAATTATCGCTTCTATTACCGAAATGACAATTTGAAAAGGTACGAGAAGGGCCTTATGAACACACAGACGCGCAGTAGTGACAGTGCGAACGAGACTGATGATAGCACAGATGAGAGCAAACATTACATGTGGTCCTTCCTCGATATAAACGGACAAAAGGAAAACAGAGATTACAGCCAATCACTCAGTGGACGCCTATCCTCGGAGAGAAATGAGCTGAAAGAAAAAGATGACGAACTTTTTAGTGCCATAAATAACAACACAGACAAATTTAAAGAAAATCAAAACGTCTTTGTTTTTGACGAATCAAGTAAGGAAATAAGGAAGTGCATAAAGATACGAAATAGCTTTCGCTTTGTGGCAAGAGAGGATTTAATACGCACGCTGCTATTAAATTATAAGTATAATCAAAACGTCTTTTCCGTTTATACGGACACCCGAATTATTAACAAAAATATTTTTAAGTCCATTTTTTTGAATAAGAATAAATTGAAAAATGATCTGGATCTTTACAGCGATTTGCTGTCCTACCTGTTGTGGCCCGTTTATTTAGTGTACCCTCGGAGCAAACGTTCGAATATTTTCATTTTTAACTATCACTCCCCGGTCTCCCCTGATGGGAGCTACTACGTCAAGCGGGGTCGCCAGAAGGGGGGGAGGGACTCGGCGACGCGAGACAAGCTGCAGAAAAGGGACAGCAGAGAGCAGGGAAGTGGCGTAGAATGCGTAGCGGGAAGAAGCGTAGAAACAAACGAGGAAAGCTACACAGAAAGAAACGCCGAAAGAAACGCAGAAGGAAGCACAGAAAGAAGTGCAGAAACGCACCGAGTGGGACTTCTCAACAGCTCGATTAACGGAGAAGATAAGGAGTCGGACAGCCACGGGTATATGTTTTCCCAGTTCAGCTCACTTAATTCCCTATTTACGAAAAAGGAGGAAAACCAAAAACAGTCTTTTAACAAAAAAAAATATTTCTACACAGACAGAATGAATCTGGAGGAGTTGTCCATTTTTCTTTTAAAAAAATTAAAAGGCATAAACTTAGGAAGGCATAATGACATTATATTTATTGGTCATTCCATGGGGGGGTTATTAACACAGTACGTATTGCTAAAAAATGATGACATTCTGAGGAAGACCAAATTTGTGTTTTTTTACGCTTCTCCCCATTTTGGTTCCCCCCTTTCCTCGACCGCTTTTTTATTCAAAAAATTTTTATCGCCCTATGTTTATCAGCTCAATAACTACGATTCGACTCTGAGCAACTTGCAGTATTCCTTTCGAGAAAGAATAAAGAACTCAAACATCAAGGTTTATTCCTTCTCGGAGTCGGAGAAAACGCCCTTGCCGTTTATAGGTATGAATATGTACATGGGGGTACAGAACCTCGATATATGAAGCTCTGCACACCCAAGGGTGGGTAAGAACCTCTCCCCCCCAGAAAAAAAAAAAAAAAAAAAAAAGGTGACTCTTCAGGTACACACATGCAGTCATTTTCTCCCCCCCCCACTCTGCAGGTGTCCACACAATGATCGTCCCAAGCGTCAGCTCCTATTTGAACTACTCCAAAATGTTTACAATCATCAAGGACTGCGATCATCTCGAATTAAGTAAGTTAAATAGCGAGGATGACGTAAAGTACCATTATTTGAATAGGGCAATAAGGGAGGTACTGCGGGCGAAATAGGAAGGAGAGGTACACCCACTTTTCCATCACTTGTTAATACGCATGTTAGTGCGCCCACTTTTCCCAGTTGTCTGCAGAATTGACGACTGCACGTTTTCAAATCGCCCCCTTCTTGCATCACGAATTTATCCTTCTTTGAGCCCCTCTTAATTTATCCATTTTATATAATTTTTTTTTTTTTTTTTTTTTTTTTTTTGTGTAAACATTTAAAAGGTTTATTAAATGATTTGTCTTAAAATTTCTCCTGTTTTTAAATGTTCTGCATCTTATTTTCCCTCTCAATAATCCCATTTTTTTTTATAAAGAAAACGCCATTTTGGTGTTCTCCACTTGGGACATTTTTCCCCTTGCCATTTTTTTTTTTTGTGGCATTTATTTTAACTTTTAAGAATGATTTGGCCAATTCTTCTTTCTTTCGATGATATTTCATGGGGGGCAAAATGTCGGCACCGGCTCCTCCCTTTTCACTTCTCCCTTATGATTTCCTCTGTTCCACATAACGGGTGTATGCGCAGGGCGCAGTACTTGCTCGGTGAACACACTATTTGTTGATAGCCCCCTGGGCAGAGCGCGCTCTTCTCATGCGTGCGTTGAATAACATATGTATGTGCACCTGGTTAGACGGCGTGGGGGGGGGAAATTAGGATCACACACTATCCTTATTTTCACGATGTGTTAGTCGTTCCCCTGTGGGAAGAGCACCTAGTTGATGAGGCCCACAGCCGGGTGTTATCTTTCTCTGCGGCTTTTTCAGCAAAAGTGGCGACACTGGCAGCGGAGATCCCCAGCTAAACATCAACGTCAACATAAATGTCATGTTAAACGTTACGTGCGTGTAAACGCTCCCTGCGTGCGGCACCTTTCGGGTGTTGGCGCTCCATAATAAAATGCCCTCTGGTTCGCCGCTTAGCACTTACTGCTTATCCGCGTTGTGTAAAGGCGACTCTGCTCCGTGCACTTTACGGTTGTGTTGATATGCCGTTGATACATGCATTGTACCTGGATTGTATGGAAACAAGGGGCGGGGAGAAATCCAAAAAATGTTCACCTCACATTGGGCGTATCAGCAACAGGGCCTTCATATGAATAATACAAAAGGGGTAAGGATAAATGCACCAAAAAAGGGATGATAAAATAAACACGCACACAAAATGAAAGGAGTTTCCATGTGGGGAAAAGGGAAAAAACTCCTTCGCAAATATGATTATCAGGTTACGGGCGCATCTTATCAAAAGGTCACACAAAACGGATGGAACAGAAACGAATTTAATTAGAAAAAGAACGTTACAAATAAGGTACAGGACGAGAGCAATTTTTTTTTCGAAAAAAGGCAGTAATTTGATACGGTCATACGAATGCCCCCCTTTTTTTTTTTTTTCACACTTCACGTGTGGAGATTCTTCCCAATCTAATTTACACTTTTTTTCAGGAATGGAGAGACCGGGAAAATCGATACGAGGAAAACGGGGATAGACTCGTCTCACACGTAGGGCTGTATCTATGCGCATATCCATATGCTGGGCCCATGCTTCAAAAATGACCCTGCAAAAGATGTATAGTTTGGGAGGAACAAATATGCTTTAATTCACTATTCTTCACTGCTGAAATTCTGCAGGAGATTGCAAAGGGGATTGTTGAGCTGCCTCATCTCCCTCTTCTTCTTCTCCTTCTTCTGTTGATGCATTTTTTGTAGGATCATCAAATGCAGATTCATCCTGGCACATGTCATTTGCATTGTTTCCATCTTTGTTAGGCCTATTTTGGTACTCCTCGCTGTCCAAGAGGCTATCCCTGTGGGGTGCACGGTTACCACTCTGCCCCTCCTCCGTATCCTTGCTGTTGTAAGGCGAGCCATAGTTCATGCTAGCGTTGTAGGGATATTGATTATTGACGTAGCTTTGGTCATTAGTGTAGCTCCCGTTGTACACACCGCTTTGGTTACCGTTATAGTGCTGGTCTCCGCCATACGGTTGGACGTCGATATAGACCTGTCCTGCGCTATACAGTTGGCCGCCTCTGTACAATTGACCACCGCTAAACTGTTCCACATCGCCATAGTAATGGTTGCTGCTATAATGGGGAGCCGAGCCATACGGTTGGACGCTGTCACAATGGGGGCTGATGTTATAGGGGTTCACACTATTATAGGGTTGCACAGTCTCATGGGGGTATACACCATCATAGGGGTATGCACCACCATAAGAGTATTCACCATCATAGGTGTATAGACCGTCATAAGGGTAGTTGCTGCTGTGATGGTAGCTGATGCTGTAGGGGTAGCTACTATAGGGGTAGATAACGTACGCGCTGTTGCTGGTGTTGTAGGGGTGGCTGTTATTGCTGTACGCGTTCCTGCCACTATTGTATTTGTAGTTGCTGTAGGGGTGCTGGTACATGTAAATCTGGTTGCTATAGTATGCCTGATTGTGGCCATAAGCCGGATGGTTTGCATAAACGTGGTTACTGTAAACCTGGTTGGTACAGACCTGATTCGTGTAAACGGGGTTGTTGTAATTCCTGTAGTTTTTAAAATGAGCATTGTTGGTTCTCCTTTCATAATTTCTGTGTGAGCTGTAGGGCAGGTGGGGGTTTCTTTTTCTTTTCTCCCTGCCGCCGTTTTGGGAAACTTGCGTTTCGTGTAGGTTTGGGTTTTCCCCGTCGGAGTCGCTACCACCATTTTGGCCCCTACGATCCATTAGGCCGCTGCCACCATTTCGGCTGCTACAATCAATTTGGTCTCTTCCCCCATTTTGGATGCTACTGCCCGATGGGCCGCCACCGATGTTATCGCCACTCAGGTCATTCTCGTCGCTCACACCGTGCGCACTATTGTTGTTTCCGCTTAACGAATGAACAGTTGGATCCCATCTGTTATTAAGTGCCATGTTCCATGCGGACGAAGATACACTGTTCCCATTCTGCACACAATTATCATTCGTATTTGACTTTGTGACAGAGCTTCTGTGGTGGCTACTACCCCCTGCGACATTATACGAGGTCCCATTTCTTTCCTGCCTGTTATTGTTCCCTTGTGCGTTAGCATGTTGGTTTTCACCGGAGTGCATGTTAGCCGCGTTGATTCCCACATTTTGGATATTCAAAAAATTCTTCCTGTGCTGGTTTGAGCATGGATGCGATTTCGCCGATCTGTTATGTGTCTGATTGGTCGATCGCAGGGTTATGGGTGGCACGGCACCTAAGATGGATTGGCCGTTCGCAGCCTCTGCGCTCGTGGAGTGGTGTGCTCGGTTGTTACGGGCGTTGGGCGCATCAGTCGTGTTTGCCGCTTGCTTTTCTCCTCTACATCCTTCCGCGGTTGTTCCTCCAACTTGCGCCGAAATGGACAACTCCGCCGGCAGGACGCGTGTCTGGCTAGCCATGTTCACGCTGTTCAGCTCGACATTCAAATAACTATAGCAGTTGTTTCGGTTCGAGTAAACATTACTTACATTGTAGTTGTAATAACTAAAGTTATTCACCAGCGTGTTCAAGGGATATACGGGGGGTCCATACAACATATCGTTCCTTGTATTTCCGTTGCTCTTATCATAGTTTTGCTTTGTTCTATGGGCACCACTGTTGCAGACGTTGCTGTAAGTTTCTCTAGGTCTAGGTAGAACATTCTGCATGTGGAGTGAATTATTCACGTGATTGTGGTTTGTATGGGAACATCTGGATGCGTTTTCAAAATTTTGATCTGATGGATTCTGCTCAGGTGTACTGTACGTGTTGTTAAATGAGCGCTGTGAATTTTTGCAGGGGAAATTTCTATGCAGGTTGTCATTGCAGTTCTTGTCTTCTCCTCTTGTCTTTACTCTACCGTTCGTCATCTGTTCTTTCGATTCGGTGTGATCTCCATTTTTGCTGAGATCTCCAACTTTGTTGTGGTCGCTAAGTTGGCTGTGTTCTCCCTGTGTGTCCCCCTTCTTTTCCCTTGCCTCTGGGGCGTTGCCTCTGCCGGAACCATTACCGCCGATCACGCCGTCGTCCTGCATGCCTTCGTTTTTGATTAGTTCCCCGCCGCTGCTCAAATTGTGTCTATCACAGTTTCCATAAGATGCCACGTTCCCGCCGACCCCATAGTTCGCGACGCTTCTGTAATGGTCCACCCCCTGCAAATTCTTTGCGTACCTACTTGCCATGTTAATTTTCTTATATCTGCAATTAAAATTCTTTGGGCCGTAGTTGTTATATGTGCTCGCCGTGGGGTACCTAGCCAATTTGCTCAAGACGGGATTCTTTTTCCGGTCGTTATCCTTTGCGTCCTTATTATTCCCGCTGTTCATCTTTCCGTCGTTCTCCCTTCCAACCTTGTCCTTTCTGTACTGATTCTTCAACATAAAAATGGGGTTCCTCTGGATGTCATTTCCATTTTCCTTGAAATTTCTAAATGAGTCATATCTTTCCCCTTCCCTTGGGCAATTATTTCCGTATCGTCTCTGCATGATGCTTTCTCCACTGTTCACCATCTTCAAACAATTATCCATCTCATTCGTGGGTCTGGTGCACCTGTATTCGTTTAGCGTTGGGCGTTCTTGTTCCTGGTCGTGGTATCTTTGTTTTTCGTTTCCTCCTCTGCCATTCGCATCCTCATCGCCATTCTCGGCACGATCCACATTGCCGTCCTCGTTTTTATCCCCTTCAAAGCTGCGTCGTGTCTCACTTCGCCTTGCTTGCGGATCTGCTTCTACCAAGGCATTCCCTATCTCAACGCTTTCATACTTTTTGTTGTCTTCCTTTTCTATGTCCACTTCGAACAGGGCAATCCCTTTGCTTTCATTCGCCATGTGGCCATTGTTTTCGTCCTCTGCTTGTCCGCGCCTCTCTCCCTGACAGTTCTGGTTACACCCCCCATAGGACTTATTTGGGCTTCTATTCCCACACGACTGGACCTCTCCCTCGCTGCTACTTCTCCCAATAGACATGTACTGACTGCTACTTCGCTCACTGGGCGTGTACTGGCTGCTGTTATCCAGAACCTCAGCGAAAGTTCCGTCCTTCTTTTCCCCTCCACTGGTTTCTTCTCTCAGCATTTTGTAATCACCATCATTGATATCACCGATATACGATGCCTTTCCAACAGGATGCTGTTCCTCATTCGGGTCCAACTCGATTTCTTCATTCTCCATTTCTACAGATTCTCTTCTGTGAGCCAAATTTTGATTCTTCTCGGAAAGGGGCTCATCACCCGGCGAGGTACATTTTCTTTCCTTTTGGTTTTCCGCTCTTTGTTCTGGTTTGCTCGCCTCGCTTTCCCCGTTTCCTCTTTCATTTCCTGTTCCATTTCCTATGTTGTTTCCCATGCTTCTCTCCACCAGATTGCCCCTCTGTTCCTTTTTCGCATTTCCGGCACACTCCAAGCTGATACTACTGGTCGTGCCCCAAACTGTGTGATGTAAATTTGGTGTGTCCTCATGGGATGCATTCTCCTGGTCTGCCTCTTGTCTCGCTTCTGTCTTGAAATTTTGTTCCTCCCCTGGAGCTTCCCTCTTATCGCAATAATTCGCATCGCACACGTTTGCACTGCTACCATTCCTGTTCTTTGCTCCATCTGATTTTTCCTTCCTCTCGCAAACGGTGAGCACTGCATGAATTTCCTTCTCCTGGTTCGTACAGCTCTGAGAAGCACTGACATGGTAGACCTGGGTAGTTTCGCCCGTACTATCTCTTTTTTCTGGTCTCCACATTTGGTCGGGAATGACAGCTCTCTTATCTGCAGAGGTCGTTGGCGCATTTGAATTCTCATCATTGGGGGTGGCCACACGAGTGTCCCTATGATACCTACTTCTGTTGCTGAACTCGCTGTTGAACACGTTGCTGACTCCGTTGTGGCCGTTCGTTTGATTCCAATTGTTCCAGTCACTCCTGTCGACATTCTCCTTTCTGCTTCTTCCACTGAGCATGTTCAAAATGTACTGAGGACATTCCCCCTTATTCTTCAAATCATGGAATATGAATTTTGTGCTGATCTTACTTTTTGGAGAAATTTTTTCAAGTTCCGTTTTTCTGTAGTTTCTTTGTCTCAGTTCTGCCTGTCCATGTGCATGTCTACATTTGTCTCCAGACGGACATGTACCTTCCTTGTCAAAATATTTACACAGCTTTGTTTTAAAATAATCCGGTGTTGCCCTCAATTCTCCCTCCCCATGTGCAAACACACAATTGGCATTTCTGCATTCATTTCTCAACCACAGCTGGCAAATTTTTGTCTTCATTAAATTCATACAACTTCGTAAAGTATCAGCTAAGTGTGCATATGAGCAGTTGTCTCCTTTTTGACACAGTCCTTTTTTTAAAAATGGACACAGCTTTATTCTGTAATACTGGTCGTGTATCTTTTCTTTCCCTTTGATGTAGTAGCGATCCTTTGGATAGGCTCCATTTCTTATGCCTTGTTCTTTGTTACCCAGGGGGTGAACATAAGGGGGCACTATTTGATGATGTTGCACATTTGCAGTGTTCATAGGGAGGTCCTTTTCGGATCGTCCACTTTGTGGAATAAACGAAATGTGTATCTGTGCTTTGTTTGAATAGCCGGACAGCTGCTGCTCTTTGTATTCTACCTCCTCCTCTTGATATTCGACCTGCTGCTTCTGCGGGTGATAGGAGTGATGGTTGCCTAATCCATCTGGGGGAGGGACTATGTTCACATACCCATAGTTGCTACAATCGCTGTTGTTGTTTGCACTGCTGTTACCACCATTGACGACACTGTTAGTTTCTGCACTTGATTGGTACATATTCCTCCCGTCCATATGATCTGCACATTTCTTTTCATACGGAGAGTACTTATCAAAACTGGGGATGATGTTGCTATTCTTCATAATCCTCTGATTGAAGAAGTTTGGCTCGAAATAGGGTCTTTTAACATACACAGGGTTATTTTCTCCACTGTCTACATTTCCTGTTTCCTTTCTATCCATGTTGCTCGCGCAACAGCTAGTATACCTTTCCATGTAATGCCCATTATAGGTACTCTCTATGACGTCATTCTTTTCCCTACCTGCACATTTTAGAAGTTTTCTATTTCTAAGGATACTATTTTCTTTCCTCTCATCATCGTGGGAACACCCCTGATCCTGCGCGTCGTTTTGTTCTTCTCGTTTAATCTGCTCATTTGAAGAAGTGGCCAATTTGGTCTGTTCTCGCCTGATGTAAGTTCTGCTGGTCTTTTGGTCTACATTACTAGCGATGCTGCAACTGGAGGGGGTTTCATTCGAGAGGTTCCCTTGGTGATGTTCGGAGTTTGTTCCATTTGGGATGCCCTGCGTAGCGGCATTTTGTGTAGAGGCATGCTGATTGGTTAATCTCTCTCTTTGTCTCTTTCCTTTCCTTGCGCTTTTCCCCTCGTCTTGCCTCTTTCCTTTCCTCTCGCCTTGTCGCTCAGGCTTCAGCTCCAGACCTCGTCCACCCCCCTTCCCTATGGGTGGCTCCCTTTCTGACAACTCCGCGGCAACCATTCCTTTCATTTTTCCCTTGGAGATTTTCCCCAAATCGTCCTTAACTTTATTTTCTTCTTCATTAATTTTTTTCAAGTTGGTTTTCTTTTTATTCTTCTCAAACGCAGTGTGTTGCTTGTTTTGGGCACGACTACCCGGGTTGTTTTCAGTGGACAATCGCGCTTCTTTACCTACATTAGATTCTTCTGCGTTCACCATTTCGTAGTTTCCTTCTTGGTCATTTGTTTTTTCTGGATGCGCCATACTGGGATTACTATTTTTGTCCGAGGTCTCCTCAGCTATGATGTTTTTTTTTTGAGTCAAAACCGTTTGACTTCCGTTTAGGCGTAAAATGGAGCACCGGTACGTGTGCGCAGGTTTCTGTGCGTGTAGGTAAGTTTCTCTCTATGATTGTGTATGCGTGTGTGTCTGTGTCCATGCACGAAATTTGGCCTTGCTTTGGTTGCGGAACGGGGTTACAGCTCAGATATGCACGGTGCACGCACGGGTATGTTATGTATATATGTATGTGTACACATATATATGTACGCGTATGTGTTTGCTCACACGCATAGGAGAAGGGGTAGGCGGGACAAAAATTCTCACACAGGCGAATCCTGAAAGGGCTTACAGTTAACCCTGTGCATAAATCTGGGGATTAACGTTGAAGAGAGAGAAAAAAAAAAAGGATAAATATGGACTACAGTGGTTGTATCAACACCTAACGGGTTTCCTAAATTGTTCTTTTAATTTTCTATATTTCTAATAACAAAATGGCGAATACAAGAATTTAAAAGGTTATCAAAAAAAAAAAACGAGCATGAAATATACGTACTAATACTCTACTATTGCGCTGGCAGGTATACATGTGTGTGCCTCCAACCATACACACATGCAGATACTAATACATACAGTAATACATGCATTAATATACGCGCCCCGTTCCCCTGTTTTTGTCTTCTCACTGCTTTGTTTTGCGCGATGGCGATTAAAACCACGACGTGCGCCTATAGTACATAAATACAGAAAACAAGCAACAAAATTAATCGAAAGGATCTTGTCCCCCCTGAAAAATGAACAAGGAAAAAAAAAAGAATGCACACACGTATGCACGAGCACGATACAACTAATTGCAAGAGGCCCCTTCTTTCAAGCACGACAAAACGTAAGCCCCGAAGTGTCTAGACATACGTACATGGATGCGAACATACGCACATATCAATGTCCGCAAAACGCAGTGGCTACCTCGTGGCAACGTCGTGGCAGTATCACAGAAAAAGCGGAAATATCTCTCTGGGGAGGGGCTCTCCAGCTAGTTATTTCTTCGAGATTCGAAAGTGAAATTCAAATACTCGAGGTGAAAAGAAGCTCATATATGCGGTGATACGCTTACAGGGGGGGAGGAGGGTTTACAAAAATTGATGCCCAAAGGGTTAGAGTCACAAAAAATTTGATACGCGCAAGCAGTGCTTGTCCCTCTTCGACAATACAACTGCACCTTTGTCGCTCCTTTCCAGTGATGTCGTAAAATGGATTATAAACGTAGGTATCTATATGTGTATCTATGTTTTCATATACGGAATCGCCTAAACACGTAAAATGGTTGTGTAATTACAAATGCAGATGTCAAACAGATGTGCGTCAGGCTTGTTCTGGGGTGAGACTTCTAAAAATTTTAGCATGACAGGGAATGTGAACAACGTGTACGCATAAAAGGGAGGATCAGCTTCTTTTTTCTTTTTTCTTTTCTTTTTTTTTTTTTATCTTTATGTATGTAATGCGAAAATCTGTACTATGCTCTTTAATTTCAATATATCTCTTGTCGTCTATGTGGATCACCCTGTTCAGAGTACATTAAACATGTGACTTCAAACTCATCAGTGGGTGGGCCTATGCAAGGTTGCACATGTATACGTATGGTCGGTTCCTCCTTTACGGGCATAATATTGTTTTATCAAAATTTTGTGCTTCCCTTTTGTGCTCTCTGCAGCATCGTAGAGGAGTTAACCCGCGCGCAGAGGAAAATTTCCTTTTCAGCTGGCACTAAGGTAAGCTATCCGAAGGGAGAGGCCCCCGAGAACGCATGAAAGTAAACGGCCCAAAATCAAACGGTGCAAAAAATAAACGCGCGGGAGGTGTCCAATAAAATGGTGCACAGGAACCACGCAGAAACTCAGTCGAAAATACTTTCCGGAAAGATCAATATATGCATAGGTTCGAGGTTGGCTCGCCCCCGTCTGGTGCTTTTTATATTCCGACGTGCTCCTTTATAGCAACAACAGCGCGAGTACACAAAAAGGGACGAATCTGTGCAAAGGTGTATAAGAATATGTACTGAACAGATTGCCTATATAACGCCTAGTTTTTATTTAAAAAAAAAAAAAAAAGAAAGAAAAAAAAATATCTCATACGAATGCGTTGTATGCATATAAATAATCCCAAGCAGTGTCAGGTGTACTTTTGCCAGAATCGTTTCTTTTGCTTCTACTGGACTTTTTTGTTTTGTTTTGTTTTTTTTTCCTTTTGGCAAATGTTACATCTGTGTGCCTCCAAAAATGTGAATATACTCTTTTGGCGGGCTTAAAAAACAAAGTGGCGAAAAAAAATAACGTAAAAAGCGTACTATTGAGATAAAAAAAAAGATAAAATGATGAAATAAAAAAAAATTCCAAAGGTCGTTAATTTTATGGTGGATGGGCAAACCATGCAATTGTGGAACAAAACTGTGGAGGATCGGGGGTGTGGGCGGCGTGTTCTGGGTGTAGAGAGAGTTACACCCCCTTGGTGTAAATGTAAAGTGGGTGTGTGACGAATGAACAGGTGTGCATATAAGTGGGTAGTACATATACATGTAACGCAAAAAGGGAGTGAATATATAGTGTACAAAAAGGTGTTCTATTTTTTCTGAGTGTGTAAAAAAAAGAAGAAAATAAAATTCCGAAGTTTCAAACTTTTGGGGTTTCCATTACTATGCTTCTAAGTTCTTTATAGATGAAGGAACGTTTACGTAACCACTAGGTTTAACTTTTCTCAGTGTACACAAATGGGAGAACAACGCGTGGGTATGAACATGAGTACATACATGCGTACATATATGCATACATGCATACGTACATGCATTCATACATGTGCGCGTACGTACGTGCGAACGCTGATGAGCTGTGTGGGATCCCAAGGGCGGCACTGCAACCAATTTTCTCCACAGTGTTGTTGGTTGGATACACGCAAAATGAAAATCTGATAACAGGCAGAACCTCACACAGGAGAAAACGAGCCCCAATATATCTGCTTCGATAAAGGGCGACTAACAGCCGAATCCGCTGTTGCAAAAAAAGAAAAAAGAAAGATTTGCAAGTACACTTAAACGTACATACGTACGTTACACGCGCATAAGTATACTGTACTGACGTAGGCCGCACGCAGGAAAACTATACATGCGTGTATCATTACGTTCATCCACTCTCACACGTACGCCTATGCAACTTAAAACATCTCTATATGCACGTATAGTGTTGAAAGCGAAGGGTTAATTCGTTTTCAGCTTCTTCGTAGTTTCCCAGAAGGAAAAGGGAGTTAAGTTAACTCAACTGTTATGTAAAGGGTTTCCAAAATTGCAGGATATTTTTTTAATTATGGTGAGATCTTAATTTAAAAGAAAAAAAAATAAGGGGTGAAATTAATTAAAGGAAAAAATGAATTCGTTTTAACTGTACATAGCAGAATGTTTCGTTCTATGTCCATCAAGAATTTGTGTTAACTTAACTGCGGTTGGTTCAGTGGGTGAGTAAAGAAAAAAAAAATATATAAACAAGTGAACAAGTGAATAAGTAAGCAGGCCAATGAACAAGCAAATGACCTATCAAATAATGGGGTAGTTAACTGGAAGGTGGATGAGTCGGCGAAACGGTTGTGGCGAATTAACCGCTAATGCATGTAAAAGCGAGGAAAAAGCAAAACAAGACCACATACAATTTGCCAGCCCACATGAACTTTGGGGGCACCCATTTATGGCCTGCAATTCGCCCCAATGGGGTGTATACCACGGGGCGGGGCAAATACAAAAATGAAAA